TAAGAAGAGGTCCATTGATTTTTGAGACAATACCTATGACGCATCAAGTGAGTTCAATTGTGCATTCCATGGCCCCGAGGCAAGAAGATCCCGGAGTTTTCACTATCCCATGCACCATTGGAAGTGCCAACTTTGCAAAAGCCCTTTGTGACTTAGGGGCAAGTATAAACTTGATGCCATATTCAGTCTTTAAAACCTTGGGAATTGGTCAACCACGAGCAACCTCGATGAGGCTTCAAATGGCAGACCGGTCAATGAAGAGACCGTTGGGTATAATTGTTGACGTCCTTGTGCGAGTAGATAAATTCATTTTGCCGGCTGATTTCGTCATTTTGGATTGTGAGGTGGAGTTTGAAGTCCCAATTATCCTTGGTAGACCTTTCCTAGCTACGGGGAAGGCTTTGGTCGATGTCGAGGCGGGAGAGATGACCTTCCGTGTTGGTGATGAAAAGGTGGTTTTCCCGGTGTGCAAGTCCATGAAGCAACCTAATAGCACTGAGGTGTGTTCCTTTGTTGACATTGTCACGTCAGTGATAATGGATGATACAAGTTCTATGATTAACATTGAAGATCCACTTGTGTCCGCACCTCTAGACAGGGAGATGAATGATGATTAAAGTAGGGTGATGTGCATTGCTGTTTTGCATGCCATGGAATTGTGTGAACCCAGTAAGTTGTCATTGGACCTTGATGAATGGGAGACTCCTCTAGACAAGCAGGCAATTGAGGTCCCTCCGGTGTTAGAAATGAAACAAACTGAGCCACACATGTGTCTACAAGTTTTTGAACCCGATGCTCTCTTGGAGGATGACGCAAAACTGTGTTTGAACCATAAAAGGGGGTTAGACGATGTGATACAACAATTGGTACTCTACCCAACTCCCGACAATCCTTGGACTCCCCCAGATCATTTTAGACAAAGGAAGGATGAAAAGACTGGAGTGGCAAACTTTCATGCGGTAAAGTGTGTAGAACAATCAGTTCCAGGGTGGCAAGGTCGCCAGAAGGATGGAATTTTGAACAAAGTGCCCCGTCAGCATCACTATCCACTACCATTTATAGGCAAAATTCTAGGTCACCTTGGTGGGCGTGCGTCCTACTATTTCTTGGAGAGTTTGATGAGAGCCACATGATGGCGATTCCTGATTTGAAGTGATATGATGGTAAAATGCGTCGTGCCGCGACGTTAAATCAGGCGCTTCTTGGGAGGCAACCCATGTTTTTTTTCTTTCTTTTTATTTTCTGTTGTAGATTAGGATTTTTGAACTCATGGTTTGTGAGATGTTGCAGGGGTGATGTTGGACCAGTGCAGGACAAAAGTAAAAAAAATAAAAAATTAAGGTCTCTGAAGTTTGCCTGCGCGGCCGCGCACCAAAACAGTGCGGTCCGCGCAGGCTGGTGAAATGGACACTGAGTCTCTGAAGTTAGTTGCGCGGTCCGCGTCCATTTTTGTGCGGTCCGCGCAGGAAAAGCCTACATAACATGCTCTATGAAGTTTCCCACGCGGCCGCGTGACACAACAGCGCGGTCCGCGTGGGCTGTTCAGGCAATTAAGGTTGCTGGAAATCCAGCGCGGTCCGCGGCCATTTCTCCGCGGCCCCGCTGGTGGGTAAGTAAAGGGGTCCCACAGTGTTTTCTATAAATAGGGACCCTAGGCTTCATTTTAACCTTTTCGCCAATTTTCTACTTGAGCTCTAAATTTTCGCTGTGCATCAAAAGAACTTGCTTCAAGTAGTTAAAACTTTCTCAATCCCTGGTAACATTCTTCACTAATCTCATTCATAGTAATTTTTGATCATTTTTATTTGTTTCCTATTAGTATAACTTCTTATTTTCTTCTTTCTTTCCTAGTTTTAACTGTTAGGGTAGATTTTGTGTGTTTAGGAGAAACAATGGGCATGAATTCTTGATTAATAACTGAGTAGGGACAATTAGGACCCATAATTTGATCTAAAAATTGGACTTAAATGAAAATCCCCATACCCAGTTAAATATCTGCCCTACGCGGCCGCGCGCCCTTTCCGCGTGGTCCGTGCTTCCTCTTGTTTGTGCTGAGTATCTTCTGCGCGGTCCGCGTAGCATTTTTGCGCGGTCCGCTCCAGCCCAGCGCGACCGCGGTCCAAATCAGTGCGGACCGCGCTTGCAAGGTTCAGAGAGTTGTGTTTCAAGTCATTTCTAAGCGCATTCCGCGTTCATTTTTGTGCGGTCCGCGCACATCCAACGCGGCCGCGGTCCAAAACAGTGCGGACCGCGTTGGTAAGATTCAGAGAGGGATTCACTGGAACATGTTCAGCGTGGTACGCGCTCCTGTTTTACGCGGTCTGCGCCATCCCAGCGCGGCCGCGTGACACTTTTGCGCAGTCCACGCCCCTTCTATTTTGCAAGCCTTGACTATGCACTGTGCATTACTGTTTCATCCAATTCACTGTATGTGCTTCAACTAACAATGTTAGACTTTTCTCTGCAGATAATGGTTAAGAAAAGAGGCAGAAAATAACAACAACAACCCGTGAGGGGTGGTTCCTCCCGCGGGGGAAAAGGGAAGCGGGTTGTCAGACTCACTCCCCAGGCTCGGGAGAATATGAAAAAGACCCGTAAGACAATACGGGAGGCTGATAGAGCTGCTTCCCACTCTTCGAAGAGTGAGTACGCACCCTCAAGGAGCATCACTTCAGAGTCCGCTCCAACTCGCATGTCTCTCCCACTTCAATTGCATGACTCCCCATCAGCTTCGCCCACCTCAAAAAGGCCGGTAAATGTAGTCTCGGACTCGTCTGATAAGTCCGTAGCTAAGAGTGCTGAAGAATACTCCACCTCCCCCACAGCTTCACTATCCGGGGAGAGTGGAGGATACGGTGAGGGGGGTGAGCCCCAAGTTGGAGGTGTTGACAGAACAAGGAAGCCGAAAGCATGGGCTGATAGATTTGTGAGTAAAATAGCTTTCCACAGATTTCGGGAGTGGTGGCCCAAAAGGAAATTGATTCCGAAGAGACAGTTTATTGATTCTGATCTTGTTCCTGTCAACCCTCATGTGCAAGCACAATTCCGTAATAGAGAGGGTTGGGGTTTCTTCAAGGAGCGTTGCATAGTCGCAAATGAACATATGGTGAAAGAGTTTTACTGTAATGTTCATCATATAGTGAGGGACTCAAAAGAGACTCAAGTGAGGGACAAAGTAGTGATGTTTGATGGGAAGTCCCTGAATGAGTTTTTAGGGTTCAATGAAGAGGATGAAACCCAATACTTAGAAAAGCTGGCAATGAAAGAAGAGGTTCGTCCTTGGTTGGCACAGCACTTGGCAGCCCCGGGCACAGTCCCAGTTTGGTTACAAGCAGGGGAGAAGATTCTGAGAAACACATTCAACTTTGAAGCCAAGGGTTGGTTGACTTTCGTATGTAGCAGGCTTGACCCCACTACCCATGATCACACAGTTCCTATTGCCCGTGCAGTTTTGGTGGCATCTATTATGGCTGGGTTTCCTCTTAATGTGGGCAACATCATGTCTAGGGTGATTTCTACGGTCGGCCAGGAGACCAACACCAACTACCCCTTCCCAAACACTCTTTCCCTGTACTTTAGAGAATTGGAAGTGAAGAAGAAGAAGTATGATGTCAAGGTAGATCCGGTAGCCCCCTACTCATGGTACAGTCAGTCTGGTCCCGACAACCCGAAGAGGTCCAAAAAACCTCAAGCATCCACCTCCACCGCACCTGGCCAGTCTGAGGAGCCAGCGGTTATTGAGCAGTCCACTGAGCCTTCCACCTTCCCTGCTACCGGTGAGACATTGCCTCCGGGTCCTTCTACTATTGCCGGTCTATCTACTTCAGCGGACCCGGATGTCCCTTTATCGAAGACTCACCGGTTCACTGCCCACCAGCTTGCTCAGTCTCTAGCCAGTTTGAACAACTGGATGTCATCTGTGACATCCAAGTTGTCAAACTTGGCCACTGTAGTCCAGGCACAGTCCGCTCCTACCACAGTTGAGATCCCTCCTTCCATTGAGGAGACACTGAAGAAGATCCTGGCCAACCAGGAAAAGATGATGGCGACGCAGGATGCCTTGACTAAGGCAGTTGGGTCACACAGCACAGCATTGGGTAAACTGGCTCGGGAGCACAGGAAGCTAAGGAAGCAAAAGGCTTCAAAGGAGTCAGTGACAAAGTTGAGGGAGAATGTGGATAAGCTTCTAGCGGATCAGATGCCACTTGACTTACTCCTTGGGGACCCAGCTGTAGATCCAGCACCAGTTCAGCCACAGCAGGAGGATACTCCCAAGCCGAGGAAGAAGAGGAAACTCCCTAGCACTGAGGGAGTTGTGATAGAGGTGGCCCAGGTTCCGGAGGGTTCATCCAGTGCCCCACCAGTGGTTCAGCCTGTCCCTGATCCAGCCCATGTCCCAGCAGCAGCAGAGCAGCAGCAGGTTGGAGACCAGTCTGAGGTCCCGGCTACTACAGAGGATCCGGGGACGACAGGAGATACCATGCATGTGGAGCAGGCTTGAGGGGCCTTTCTATATCCTTTGTCTATGTTTTGTTGAGCTTATTTTGGTAGTTGGCATTGGGGACAATGCCAGCTTTTATTCGTGGGGGTGCGCCCTACTATTTTGATCCTGATACATTGGATGAATGTATATATTCTCTTTGCATTTAGCACATTCGTAGTTGATAGATGGTCTGTATATAACTTTTCATTTTGGATGCTTTTCAACTTTATGTATATATTCATTATCCCCAGTTGTATATTCTACTTCCCCTCTGTACATATTCATTCGGTTTTTCATTTTAACTTTCTTGGTTTTCTATTTTCGTTAAAATTTTTCGTTTTTAGTTGCAAAGTTAGGCTCGCAGCCTTTGTGTTTTGTTTTGACGTTTGCAATAAGCCCTTGGTTTTCTTAATGCCACGGTTCTTTCCAAGGGTAGATGTTGTGCGAACCGGGTGGCTCTTCCCAATGATAGATGGCGTGACAACCTTCTTAAGGGTTTGAGTCCGTTTTTGATTTCTCTTTTTGATTTTCAAGTTTTGTAGTTAAGGGTACCCCAGGCAAAGCTTCACTTGGGCCTAACACACTTTCCTTTGATCCCATGGTCAAAGACATGATGTTGTGTTTAGGATGGTGAAAGTCGTGGCCTTGAGACTCTTGTGTTGACCAAACAATCATCACGTGGTCAATGTGGGCCATTGTGCGCTTGAATCGTAACTAAGGTTGTTGTGGGCCCTCGACTCCGTCTTTAGCAATCCTTGAGTGTGTGGTGAGGATTTGAATTGTGAGCCTAAGTACCTAGCCGATGGTCTAGAACTTGCCCTGAATGTTTGTTGAGGCGAAATCATAGGTGAAACTTGACTTGAGAAGTGATTATAGGCCCTCCTTGATTCAAACTGCCAAATTTGAACAATTCCCATGGCCTACCAATGAAATGATCCCTAGTTCACCCCTTTTGAGCCTTAAACCTTCTTCTTTCATGAACCAAAGCTACAAGCCTATACCCATTTTTAATGAAACCCTCTCTTGGCACCCAAATCTTCCCTTGAGTAATGGCAAATGTCTAAGTTTGGGGGGAGAGACAAGAAAGACATCAACATGGTAAAAAGGCATAAAAGCAAAAAGAAAAGGAAGGCA